GAGAGAGAGAGAGAGAGAGAGAGAGAGAGAGAGAGAGAGAGAGAGAGAGAAGAATGGCATGACACTTCTTTGGAACAGGGTGATCATCATGAAGACGAAGACCGCGTGGAGACAAGCACATGAAGAATGGCAATAATACAGAACCGGTTGATCCTGCTGAGGAAACGGACCTTTGGGTGTAGTTTACCTATAATGAGGTTGAGGTATCTTTGGATATGAGAAATCGAAATGAAGGATGCTTGACTGTATGTAACTTTTGAAGTTGTTACCAAATAGCAAGGTGAATCATGTCTTCTACAGATAAACATCGACTGGTTGGTGAGCGGGTGCACGCAATCCCTCCTCCGACTGAATTGATTGATTGATTGGTTGAATGGGTTGCCCTTCTTCTGATGTCTTGTGCTTCACTACACGGCTGCCGTGCTGCCTGTCCAACTTAGACCACGTAGGAATAGCAAAGCTTTGGATCTGGTTGCCTTTGGAGATTTGAGAGGATCTGGTTACACCAGCCTGTGCTTCATGAGGTTTTTGGTAGAAGTTTGTTATTGGAAGAGTGAGGAACGCTGGACCGGGTTTCCAGCACAAGCCAAAGCTGGGTGATGGCCCGAGTATTTTCCAGGTTGTTTGTGAGGAATTCACGGTTACATCATTAACTACCAATGTTAACATGTTTCATGTTCAGTAATAAAGAGATTACACGTAGCTTTGTGCTCTTTCATTTGTTGCTTTCATGTTGTGTCTTCACTACATGCTTTCATGTCGTGTGCTCACTGCATGGGTTTCCCTCGTTGAGCTTGCTGGTAACTTGGTCCAGCTTTCACTTGCCCTAGCCAGGAGTAAGACCGATTCCTGTTTGTCCACATATCAATCATTGTGCCTTCCTCACTATTATGGCCTACTAGCTTTGCTTTCCCTGAGTAGACTCCCTGGAAAAGTTGCCTGATTCTAGAAACTTCCCTACACTGTTCCTTTTGACTTGGCTCAGTGGGTAGAGCACCGGTGCAAACCACACTTTGTGGTACGAGGTTGCAAACTTGCAGTTCTGAATCTGCAATTTAGCGCACACAGCCGAAGGGCGTTGACCGATGCAGGCCATTTGCACACTGGTTATTGTATGTTGGGGCTCACTTAGGGGGTACCGGTCCTGGCATGTGGTGTCCCCTTGGGGGAATGGGTGCTACGGTCTTGGTGTGCGGAGTGGGTTGGGTGGGGGGACCTAAATTTCTTCATTATACAGTAAAATTTGTTTTGAACTTAGCTGTGAGGAGGCAGAGGCAGGGCAGCGAGGCGGGAGAATGAGAGCACACACACACACACACACTCAACTGGACGCAGACTCGACACGACTCTAAGGACGCAGACAAAAAGTGGCAAAGTCGCAAAGTCGCAATCTTGGACTCCGAACACAATGTCGCAGCAAGTCACACTGAAGCACAAGTACTCAGGCTGAAAACTGAGTTCCCGTACTGGGCTTGAGTCCGGTCTTAAGTACCGGACTCAAGTTCAGTACCGAGGGCAGAAGTGCAATTTGCCTCAGGGCTGAACTGAGAATTGAACGTCTGAGTCCGGGCACCAGAATGCCGGATGGCGCCAAGTGTCAAAATCCGAAAGTGCTAAAGGAGGAATTTGATAACGGGCGCCAACTGCAGAGGGCACCAACAGTCAGGAGCCCGAGATCAGAAACTAAAAAAAAAAAGGCAGCCTGGCAGGGTGGTAACCAACGGACCAGGGATCGAGCCCTGGCTGAGTCCATAACATTAGCACTCTGAATAGTGAAATACCAAACAGAACAAATTCATGCATTCTGATTTTTCTTTTTTCTTTGTCCAGACTCCAAAAGCCTGTGTTGCTCGCATACAACATCAATTTGGGTTAAACCACCAGTACACACCTCACATCGGCCGTGGGGCCATGTCAGAGGTGGAAAAGCGACGCCAGCCACCGACGGCGTGCCGGAGCCGACTTTCCCGGATAGGTGACGAGTTTCTTTTCAGCAAGGCTGGGACCATGTACTGGTGATTTAATGAAAACGCACAAAGCGATCACTTAGAGAAACAAGCGATGGAGTGCAGTTTTCAAGTGCCTTTCTTTTGATCACTTGGGATACACTCGTTTCTCCCATTGAACGCAGCGACTATCCCCTCAGCCAACCCGCCACCATTGGTGTCAGGCATTACTCCAACTGGTTCGTTGGCAGGCTTTCATGGGGGTTGATTGGTGACCCTTGGCGGATAGTTGGGAGGTTGATAGTGCACTGGTGATTTGTTTTGGCTCTTCAATGGTTATGGGCCCCCGCTATGGAGTTAGGGTTCTAGTCATAAATAGGAGCTTGAGGACCCCTGATGAAGGGTCACAGAGGTAGCCTACACCTGATTGTGGAAATCACGGAGCCTTAAGGGACATACCAGATAGAGCAAAAAATCATCGGAAAAGTTCATGACAATTTAAAGTTTTAAACCATGCGACCAATTGTATCATAGCACTGATTGTGTAGGGATACACACACAAGAAAAGGGTGTATATCAGGGCACAGTAAGGATGAGATCTTGGCCTTGAGAGGACTACAGTGTCTCAAGAATGTGGAGTTAGGGTGTGTGGGAAAAGGGATGGGACGTTCGATTGCCACCAGGAGCAGAACCACCTGCGGATAGTCTAGATCAGAAAGTGTAGCACCCACAGGATTGCATGCCACCAGGCCTCCCACTAGCAGTGGGAATGCTCGAAACGCCAGCCCTGCTGGTGGGGCTGCTCATGATAGCCGTGCGATAAGGACTCCCCAGACCATCTCCAATCTACAAAAAGGTCCTTGGCTGGCAATCAGAGCAAAGAGGGGGGTAGAGGATGGGGCCATGGAGGGGGTGCGGGAGGGGGTGGGAGGGGCATAATCTGCAAATGAGGGCGAAGGGGCAGTGGAAGGGCTCTGTTGATCCACCTGAATACATTCCATGTTTCACATGGTTGGAGTGCCTATCACTCACTATGTTTTTTTTTTTTTTTTTGGCACAAGTTCAGTTTGTAAGGCATGCAAGTGCCATACAGGAGATTGTGTGTGTGTGCACGCGTGTGTGTTTGTGTCTGTGTGTGTGTCTGCGCGTGTGTCTGCGAGCCTCGGCACGAGTTCTCACCACCAAGAAAAAGCATCCCAAACTCACCACATGGAGGCCGCGCTGCACCGCCTCACCAAACTTGTCCTCTCACGTTGGTGGGTCCAGACCAGTTCGCTGAAAGCAATGCAAGACAACAAAATGTTGGTCCAGACAGACTGGCTGGCTGAAACCAGCACAAGACAACAAAAGGTCAGTCCTGACAGCCCAACTGGCTGAAAGCAATGCAAGAAAACAAAAAGTCAGTCCAGACCACTGATCTGGATGTGCCTCCTACTTACCATTTTGGTTGGCCACCTAGAGGACTCTCCGAACTCCCCGCCTGCGCGGTAGTTTTGGTGAGTCCTCACAAATCTGCATTTGAACTTGGGTCTGTATGGGCCTGGCCGCAACCACTCACCAAAATTGTGCGAAATGAAAATGAATCTTCAGCTATTACATGAAAAGATACACCTGTTGATGAAACGTTGCATACATTTTTTGTGTTTGTTCTCACACAGTTTTGTTTTTCACTACTTTCGTTTTGTCTGTCTTTTTTGCTCATTGTATTGGCGCTTCACTCCAAATAACAAAAAATCAGGACTTCTGTTGTTCCTTCGTCTTTATTCTACTTGCAATCCCAGAACAGCAATTCGAAGACATTCACGCACATCAATGGTCACACCAAACACTTGCCCTGGACATGTTCACGCAACATTTAACGGTGCGCAGTGAACATGTCCATGGCAGCGAACATTTCCACTGGACAACGGCTGAACTCGTCCTCGGCCGTCGATCCTTGCTATTGGATGGCCATGACAAATCTTGAGCCCCAGCATCAGCGGCCAGCTTGCCATCAGCCATCCTCCCCACTCGGCTGATGTGACATCAGATGTAGGATTGGCATCATGTACCTGCCTGGGCACCCTGCAGACCACCTGCGCACCCGTAATCATCTGCCTGGTCCCTGTGGGGGCTTCCTGTGAGGTTGGTGTCGTGCAGCTTGACTCTCTCATCGTTGTCGAAGAGGATATAGCTGGTGGGGTTCCCCTGAAGGCTGCAAAAGCCCTAGAAGGCTGCCCGGCCCAAAGAAGTGGAGCCTCCTTGTCTTCCAGCAGAAGTTTTAGTCGAGGGGCCTCATACTGGTGGTTAAAGGGAATGGTAACGAACTGGGTTTCAAAGGAGCCTCCCTCAAAAGTAGGGATTGACACCTCTTTTTTCTTTGTGTGTGTCCCTCTGCAGGAGAAGGAGGAGCATGGTGGGATGCCTTTGAGACTGCATTCAGTCAAATTTTTGGCATCTAGGAGAACAGGGTGGGCCTGCTGAGTGAGGCTATTTCTGGCTTTCCCTTGTTCGTGCAAAAGATATACATTTCATTAGTGGGACCGATGTCAATCCTTTCTGTGTCTGGAAGTTATCAATGCCTCTCGCCCTGTTTCTATGCTAAAACATTTCTGGTTCTGCTTCATATACAGGGACAGTGGGACCTTTTCCCAGCACGTGCTGCTCCCCAGGAATGGAGTGCGGCCATCTTCAGTGGCAAACCCTCAATCAGGTTACGCTCTTACCCCTCACTTGATGGACGACCACCTCTGTTGGTATTTTGAAAATGAAAAAGAGCTGATAAGGTGAGTGAACATGCTAGGAAACAGAGGCAATCCCATCCCATGTGGCTGAATGGTAGACTTCATGATTCCCCTCCCCGCCCCAACTTTACTAGCTCTAGAATTACCACCATTATCTGAGGGGTAAGGAGACCACCAAATAAATTATAACTGATTCAATGAGCCATTTGCTGATCGCTTTGCTTCCTTGATCTCAAATCCCTTTTTTTTTGTCGTTTTCGGATCCTGATGGAATCAAACGGATCTAGTAAGATTGAATAGGTTAATTTTGCACACATACCACGTACAGGTGTAATAACTTAATAAGCTGAAGTGGTTTCAATTTGGGGGGGGGGGGGGGAACCAGCTGTAGTCTGCGGATGTTCAATGGAACCCTGGGCCCGGTGCCATATGGAGCACCAGACACCAATAGGACAGACCTGAGACCTGAGGGGAAAAGTCCAACTGATGCAGATTTTTTTTATCATTGACATTGGTAATCTATGGCCAGAACCACAGAGCCAAGGCAAGTGCAATGCTGTCTGAAATAACGGGATTTTGTTTGGGAAGAAAAGGTTAGAAACTTAAAACCCAACCTTGTAGATGCTGAGCCCCCTCGTATGGCCTAAGTTAGCACTTGCAGCTCCCCAAGGAGGAATAGGTAGAATCACATCCCTGCTACCCTGGCACATCTTACCATAATCTATTACTCTATCGACGATAATGTCTGGCTAAGATCCTGGAGATGCTGGCTGGCAGCGCCAATGGTCTGGCACAAAACACCAAATTTAGATAACTGAAAAAGAGAAGACCACACAAAGTGTGAAGCTCAGGGAAGTTTGTATACAAGCTTGACTCATTTGCGTGCGAGTATTTTTTTGTGCCTAGAACAAAAAGCTGTAGGTACTAAAGAAACAAGTTCCGCATGGTTCCTACCGGGTCCACTGCATCCTACCGAAACACGTAGGCACATGGCAAAAACCAAAAAAAAGAAGGAAAAAGCTCGGAACGTATTGTGAAATTTCAATGTGCGAGACCAAAGATTGAAGAGCTTGAGGATCTGGAAATTAAATAAGATAGGTGACAATTTGCTGCCGAGTCAGTGTTAAAGTTTCCACAGTTATAATCCCGCTTTGCAAAGGGCAGCCTTTTTTCCTTCCCCAATGTCTCAGCCTGAGGAGCGCAAATGCAGAACCTGAACTTCTTTATATTGTGATTCTTGATGGGATTGCCCATGTGCTTCACGTTCTTTGCACAAAAGCCTTTGTCAGAAAATATCTGAAGATCTACATGGCCATTGGCCAGGCGTTTGAGCTTCTCTGGGTGTGTTCTTGTGTAGGTGCATTTTTCTGTAACTGCAATACATGCAAAGGAGGGAAGCTAAATATGTTCAACTAGCCCTTCTTGTGTCTTCCCAGAATCTGCCTTTGCGATCCCAGCTGAAAAATCTTCTGAGGATTGAGATTATGGTCAGCATTTCAGTAACTGCATTGAACAAAGAAAAGGAGCGTCCCCTAGCATTGTGTACTTCTTTTGACACAATTCGAACTCTAAAACCACCATTACATCGTGATGATCTGCCAGTTAACAAATGGGACATGGTTTGGATGAAGAGGCCTGGCCTGCACTGGCTTAATCCTTTCACGGTCAAGGGAGGACAACACATATGGTTAACCATCGCATTCTTCAGGGGGGTGGCTTCTCGGACATCTTTGGCTGGTGGCACCAGCCATAAGAACAAAATATCGCGCCATGTCGGTTCATTCTGAAATTGGCGCGCAGCTCAAATCCGCCTCAGGGAAAAGAGGATTGGAGGTAGTGGTGGTTTGAATTCATTCACGGTGGAAAAACTGTTGGATGCCCGTGGAAGGGTGCAACAAGGCCTCTGCATTGCGCTGGTTGAAGCACCAGTCGTTAAGAAGCTCATTTTTCCAACACACTTTTTCCCCAGCCTTAGGAAACCCGAACCGTTGCGGCACACCATTTGCCTGGCACGGCCAGTCTTTTCCCAATGTTCACTCCCAGCCTTTCCGCGGCTTTGTCTTAGCTGGCAGAGTTCTTTTGAACCCCCCCCCCCCCCTCCTCCCCCACCCCACCCCACCCCCGCACCTCCCCCGGCCCGCTGGTGGTTTACTACTGGGCTGTAGTCAAGGTCAACCTCCTAGGTGGAGCCTGACCCTACACAGCCCGGTAGTCCAAGGGTGGGAAAAATGAAGAGTCGAGAAGAAGAGGCTCCGCTGTTCTGGTGCTATACATGGAGCTGTGCTGTCAACTGTATCTGATCCCCTTCTAAGGATCTGCTATTATTACATGGAGCTGGTCTGTCAAGCAAAAACCGATCGCTGGCTGGAAAGGATAGATTCAGCAATGCTGATCGTTTGTGGTGCTGCTAACAAATGGTAGAAGGGAGTGTGCCATTCGGCCACCAGGCAAGTGGCAAGTAATTGCTACCACATCTTATTATAGTTTGTTTCCCGCTGTCCTTCCCGACATCCCGAATAGACACTGGTAGAAGATGCGCATAGGCCCTGGAGAAGGATTATTCACATACGTCCCGTCGGCTAGCTCAGTAGGTTTCATGCCTGTGGCACCGCGGAGGTGCTGGGTTCTAATCCCGTTGCCATCACTTCCGATGGCCAGGGCCAGTCAACTCTGGTCGCTGTCACTGGGGTGAGTTGCATCACCCTGTAGCCTGTGCCATGCGGGACGTCAGGCCAGGTGGAAGTGCCTGCTCAGGTCCTGCTGCAGCTGGTCAGGACGCACCCAATAAAAGGATTCTGTTGCTGAATTCTCAGTCAGCATACATTCATGGCTCTCTTACGATGCCTATCAAGGTTGAGACCCTCAATTTCATGATACTTCAAGATGCTTAAACTCTCAACATACCTGTCATAACAATTGCTAGAAAACCTGTCATGGTCCAAGTACTCCAAAGTTATGCCCGCAAACCTCAGGTCCCTGGAATGGCAGATCCTGCACTGCTGCCTCCCCACGCCCGACTAGCTTGTCTCCAGAACGGATCTTGAGCAAAAAGGCCTGATGTCCCCCATTTGCTCTTATTCCGGCAGGGTGTTGCTGCCGGCCAGGGCAACGCTGGAACACTGCCTACTGGCATGCCCGATGGTTATCCAAATATTGCAATGGCGGGATGCAGCCTTCCCACTCGCTCACAGGGTTCCATATCCCATGGGACCTCGGCCTCCTACTGCTAGGCAAGATCCAACACCTGCTGGCGCAGTGGTCCACCTTTGCAACCGACCTCTTCTCCTACATGAGGTTGCAGGTCCTTATGTTAGCCTGCAGAAAGAGATGTTCCTTCGAGAGAAAAGACCACCAATTTGGATTACAACAAGCTCAACAGGCAATAGAAGAGGAAATCAGGTCCCGAATGGACCCGCACAGGATCTTTTCTCAACTGGGTAACGGGCTCAGTATCTCTTGGCATGAAGGACCACGGAACCCACCTGGGAAAGGAGGCCCTTTCACAACTTCCAGGCCCCTGACCTTCAGATTAACTCTGTGCTTGTAACAGACCATGCACCACCCTCCCGCTCGCTTATCAGCCAGCCCCCTGCACCCGCTC